CCATGCTTCAGGTAACGCCCACGTGCCATTCCATGCTGTGGCACCAGGGTGCTGCGGAGCCTAGTGCCCATCTCCCAGACAGCCCACCACGGTTACTGCTCCCCCTCCTACCAGCCCTGGGTGGTGGCTGCCCAGCTGGCATCATCCCCTCTTGGCTCCTGTCCCCAGTGACCCTCTGTGCCCTCTAAGAGTGGAAACGACCACCTCTGGGGAGCTGATCCACAACCCAAGGGAACCAGAGCTGCCCTCACCCACAGATTTGCCAGCTCCTACATTGCTTTACCCACCAGGAGGATGGTGCCCAGTGGAGGCTTCACCCACACCAGCCACAGGCCCCCAGTGAGCCATGTGGGTCTCCCAAAGCAGACCCAAGCTAAAATTGGACACCTTGTGAGATTCAACCTCCTGGAGCATCTTCCCTCTGGCCCAGGGCTGGCACCACAGCGTTGGGATGCCCAAGGGAGCAGCCTGTGTTGGAAGCACTTGCTCCACGTCCCAGCACAGAGACACGTCACCCTCCTGGCAGCATGGGCATCACCATCACAGCCTCTGATGGCAGCACGAGCCCTGGCTGTGCCAGTGCCCACCCCGAGAGGCTGCTGGGTCTGGGGGAGCACGGGCAGGATGAGCAGAGCTGCAAACCTGGCTTGGAGCAGCAGCTGACGCTCCACGTAGCGCTGCTTAAGGAGAGATTAAATGGAAATCATTTCTATTTATTGTAATATTTATCAAGGTTTAGTAAATAATTGATGCTGATCCCTCCTTGATTTCCTCAGGGGCCAGCGTGCGGTTCTGGTGAATTAAAGTTGAACGAGGCGTGACGAGGGGGGAGGAGGCAGAGGGGGTGGGCAGCGGGCACAGCCTGCCCCAGCGAGGAGGACCCGCCCGGGGGCTCCTGGGGAACCTCTGCAAATCCATTTCTCCTGCCCTCACCAGGCGCTCTGATTTACAGCGTGCAGAGCAGACCCCAGAGTCAACAAACAGCGTGGCTTTTATTGGCCTTTCAGCTGCATAACTTGTGTCGTGTGTCACGCGTCCGTCCGAGGTGAGGGGGGGATGCAAAGGCACCGAGGGGAGCAGTGGAACCAGCAAAGGTGTTTAGGTAGGACACCTGCACAACGCTTTCATGAGCAAAGGGGGAAAAGCTGCTTTAATACTGGTAAACTGGGCAAACTGAGCCAACCAAGCAGCATCCTGGAGCCCTGCTCCTCCGTGGTTACTTTGGGTGTGTGAAACGGGCGCTGGCCCCAGCCCTGAGCCCAGCATTTCTTTGGTTTCTTGGTACAAAAGAAAGGAGGAAGAGACTGTGCTCGGGTCTGTGCATGTGTGAGGCACAGGGAGCCAGGACTGCCACCATGCTGGGCAACACTGGCCTTGACTGGGCGCTGACCCATATGTTCATACCCAGAGCTGGAAGATTCCAGAGAAGCTGCTGGGACACAGGGTCCCCCATGACCCCCCTGCCAGCCCCAGCCCCAGCCCCGTGTGCCTTCCCAGCTCGGTGGCTTTGTCCCTGCAGCTCCTGGCTGGGCTCACTGCTGTGCCCCACCACACGGTGCTGGCCGGTGACGGTTGTGGCTGCTGCCACGGCTGCTCAGCAGAGTCCTGCACGGCGTCTGTGTTGGTGTGATGTCCAAGGATGTCCAAGTCCTGCAGCACCACCACGTGCAGCCCGCAGAGCTCCAGGGCTGGCCTTGCCTTACCTGCCTCTGCCCGGGCACCCGTGGGTCTCTCTCAGGGGGCTTGAGTTGGTTGGGTTTGGTCATTCTTCACATGGGTCAACTCTTGAGGGTTCGGGGACTTGAAAAGGTGCTGGGGCAAGACGAAGGCAGACCAGCTGGGATGGGCGAGCTCACAGCTCCTCTCCTCTGTGGAAAGAACAGACACCCTCAGGCATGCCCATGGGCAGCCAGCACCCACTTGCCACAGAGCATGCCCGTGCCACTGGGACACCCCATGACATGCCCATGGCCCCAGGCGGGAGTGTTCCCATGGATGTGTCCCCCTCCCCTTTAGAGCCATCCAGGTCCTGGCTGGAAAATCTACTGGTGGCATCACTGGTGACCACCTCTAGGACCAGCCACCCCTGGACACATCCGCCTCTCTCTCCTTCCCTCCCAGCACCCCATCAGATGGCAGCCAGCTTGGGAGCTGAGGCCCGCAGGGCTGCCACACACCTAATCTGGGATTTGTTGTCCTTCTCCTCTGCCTTGAGGTGGCATTGGCAGGTGGAGGCCTTGCTGTAGCTGGCAGAGCGCTTGGTGGACTTCCTCCACCTCTGTGCACTCCGCACAACCCGCTTGAAGATGAGGTAAAAGATCTCGCAGATGGTGAGGACGATGCAGAGGGAGGAGGCTCCGACCATGAAATAGGTGAAGACTCTTTTCTCGGTTGGCCGAGCTATGTAGCAGTCCACAGTGTTGGGGCAGGGCACGTCGGAGCACTTGACTAGCCGTGGCAAGTCAAAGCTGTCCCACATCTTGTGGAGGAGGTAGAGGAAGAGGATCTCTATGATAAGCTTGAAGAAGAGGCTGAACAGGTACGTCCACCACAGCCCGCCGTGCTTCTTGCCCGTGTTGCTGTAGAGCTTGGGGCAATTCTCCCCGTTCTTCTCCCGGTTCTTCTTCTCGCGGTCCTCCCGGTAAGCCACGTGCATGATGACCAGGAGGGAAGGGCAGGTGACGAAGATGAGCTGCAGGGCCCAGAGGCGGATGTGGGAGATGGGGAAGTAGTGGTCGTAGCAGACGTTGGTGCAGCCCGGCTGCCGCGTGTTGCAGTCGAAGTCCTTCTGCTCGTCGCCCCACACGCGCTCGGCCGCCACCACGTAGACCAGCACGCGGAAGACGAAGACCACGGAGAGCCAGATGCGGCCGAAGGCTGTGGAGTACTTGTTGACCCCGCTGAGCAGCGCCTGCAGCGTTTTCCAATCCATGGAAAAGATGGATTTTTTTCCAGAGTCGACTCCAGAAAAAAAATCTGGAGAGCGGATTCACCCGACCTGGAGAAACAGCAGCAGAAGGGGTGGGTGAAGAGCCCTCCGGACAACAGTGGGGCAGCTCCTCTCTCACTGCACTCTCATTGACCCCCTGGGCTTTCCCCCACCACGTCACACTCATTTCAAGTAGGGGACCACCCCACTTGCAGACAGTAAAGCCCATCCCCACACTTTCCTGGTGAGAGGTGACTCAGCTTCTCCATGCTTCCTTCTGCTGGAGCCTTTGCTGGGAGGGATGAGCCACCAGCCAAGTCCCTGCCACCAAGTCCCTGGTCTGATTGAGTGTGTTGTGTATATTGGCAGCACAGTGCCCTGCAGCGGGCCAGGATCAACATGGGCATGACTGTGTGGGGCACTTGGTGTCTCAGCAAAGCAAAGGCTTGTGCAGACACCAGCCCCGTGAGCTGGCAGGTCTCTTGGGGTGAGGTTGGGAGGGGACCCTGCAGCACATTTCCACTCGTTACCACATCTTCCTGCTCCCTCAGTGCCCGCAGGGTGGACCCCCAGTGCCCTGCCAGGTCCCCCCTGGCTGCCCAGCACTGAGGCACAGGCTCACCGCTTGCTTCATGTGCTCCTGCTGCATCAGGGCCTTGGTGGGAAGTAGGGGGGGGCAGTGGGAGGCCCCCTGCACAGTGGAACCCTGTGGGAAAGTGCCCAGGGCTGAGCTGGCCCCCCACGGGTGCAGCACTGGGCCAGCACAGCTCCCTTTGCTCTCCCCAGGCTCATCCTCTTTGCACCCCAAGGTTTTGCGTGGCTCAGCCACACTCCCTGCACCAGCACGTTTTGGGAATGGATGGGGACCTTTCCCACTAGGAAGATCCCAGGAGATCTCAGGCTTGGTCCCAGCCAGTCATAGACCTTCCTGAGCCCCAGTTTCTACAGGGGTAAAATGGGCTGAGCGAGCTGCCACGCTTCACAAGCACCGAGAGCCAGAGGGGCAGCTGCCCGCAGAGCTGGGTGCTGGGACACTCCAGGGACCAGTGTCCTCCCATGGGTGATGCCCGAGGCAGCCCCAGCACAGAGAGTGGGGCTGTCAAAAGCCAACCTCCCTGCACCTCAGCAGCACGTCGCCCCAGCCAGCACCCACACCTGGCAGCCCTGAACCCCCACGCCAGCCAAACCGGCTCCGCAGCTCTGCCCGGGGCTGCCCCGGCACGCCGAGCCCGACCCGGGGATCAGCCTGGCTTTGAATCCCCGAGCAGCTCTGGACTCTGTGCTGTGCTCAGAGGAGACTTTTGGGAGCCTCTTCACCTCCGTAACAATTGTGGCTGTTGAAGAGCCTGCCCAGGAGCGTGGGACAGCCCAGGAGCCAACGGGCAGCTCCAGCTTCAGGCCACACCAAAAGCTTCACTCAACCCCAAGAACCAATTCCTTCCTTCCTTCCTTCCTCCCTCCCAGCTACTCAGGTCGACTGGCACCACAGGCTTGTGTTCCCACTCCACTATTCCCAACCCAGTGCCCTCCACGACATACCTGGAGGAAGCTCAGGGTCCTTCCCTGCTCACGGGGGGCTGTGGGGTGGGTGGTGCCCAGCTCGGGGCATGGCCAGGCTGCGATGGCACACGGGTGATCAGGGTCCCCTTGTCCAGGGAGGGCAGAGTGGCACAGCGAGGAGTCCTGAGGCTGCGGGGAAGGACTGGAGCCGGGAGCACTGCCTGGGGCCTGTGGTTTTTTTCAGGGCCAGCCTGCAGCAAGCCCCAAACTTGCCACCACACTCCCATGCTGCTGGCCCAGGGACACACAGAGAAGAGTGGCTGAGCCAAGCGGGGCTGAGCTGGGGTCCTGTGCCAGCGTGTGCCAAGTGCCAGGGCAGTGCTGCTGCCCATGCCCACACAGCTTCAGTCTCCATCCCCTCTGAAACCAGGAGATGGCCCTCCCCAGGACATGGTCCTCCCCGGCAAACCCACAGCAGCAGGTCAGGGTGGGAGCAACCGCAGTGCTCCTGCCTGGCCCTTCGCTTTAAAACCAGGAGAGGAGCTGCTGCTGCCCCCTCCTCAGCCGACAGCTGGTGCTGGTGGCTGGACCCCAGACTCCCCGCATGCCCCCGGGGCCAGCGCCCCCTCACCAGCCTTTTGGCTCACCCATGCCCACATCCCCGTGCCCTCCCAGTGATGCTCCCCAGCACCCACCTGCCCGGCACCCACGTGT